AGCGGGGAGCCGCCGCGCTCCGCTCCAAGTTACTGGCGAGCCAGGTTGGGCGCGTTCCGGGGAGTGTTTGTGCCTCGCGTCGGGCTGGGACTCCGCTGGAACCTTGGGTCCCTGCCTACTGTAGGCTGTTTCTACTGGGCACGGAGACTTTGACTTTTCTGGGTGAGCCCAGAGGCGGGAGGGTGGGGAGGGAGAGAGATGGGAGGCAGCAAACTGTTGAAAGCTTGCAGTGGGGGAGGAGGGCTAACCCAGCAGGCAAATGGCAGAGGGCAGAGGGAGTCATTTAAAATAGACCCTGTCAACAGGAGATTAGATTTGTAACCCCGTTGATGAGGACAGAGGGCTCATTTAAGACAAATACTGTAATGGCTAAAGGTGTCAGGGTTCAGGTGATTTCCAGTGAATGCCGAGCATTGGTAACTGGGGGGCTGGATTCATGGAAGGATTCAGGGGTCTCTCTGGAGCCTGCAAAAACTAGGTGAAATTGTGTTTATGCAGATTTATGCTTTTTTCTGGTGAGAATTATAGCTTTCATCTGATTTTTAAAATGTCAGTGAACCCCCCCCGTGCCCCCAAATCCCAATGTTTAGCAATCTGGAACTAACAGAACACCCAGTCCCCCTTCCCTCCCACCACTTTGACATCCTGGCACTTCTTCATGTTTTTGGAGTAAGAAGTTCCTTATAAGCAAGAACTATGGCTGGGACTCCTGGGTGGGGAGCTGCAGGGGGGTGACGGTGCACCTAGACACCAACCAGTCACCGGGCTGGCATGATTCATGTTGGGGTTTCAGAGTGTTTATAGGATGGATGGCTCTGAATCTATGCCATATAGAGAAAAGAATTAAGAGGGGAATCCCACCATCGGGGTGCCAATAAGATGCTTGATTTTTCCTTCCTTTTAAGAAATTATTCAAAAAATGCACATCGGTGAACAACACAGCCACTTTACAGTTTCCATAATGTAGTTAGCGTCTGAAGCAATCGAACTCAAGGAGTGGGTAACTGTAGATAAGGCTACTTAAGAGCAAAGAGAGGATATTACATTTGGCAGTTTGCAGCCTCCTGTGTTAACTCTGAGATTCTGTTCAAAGGGGACAGACTGCTGATTGCTTCTGCCGGAAGTAGATAAGTTAGAAAAAGGACTTATTATTACCAAGCTAACTAGTGAATCTCCAGGATCACTGCCCAGAGGCTCAGTCCCCAGTGAACTGATGAGGTCCTCAGGTCACCAGGTGCACTGTGATGTGGAAGTAAAGATTCCTGCTCCCTTCTACTCCAAATAGCCCCCCAAGCAAATGCTCCGCTTAATCTGAAAGCAGCCATTTGGGTAGCTAGGGAATCCCCCACGAAGATCATCTTGCATGGGTTTAATTTCTCTATTTTCCTTCATTATGGCTTCTATGAGTCTTTCATTTACAGTTTTATTTCAGCATTTAAGCACTGGTATTTTAAAGCTATGCTTGGATTTAATTTTTTTGGGGGAATGACTTTAAGATAATTATAAAGAAATGTGGAGTACTTTGTAAACTAAAATGCTATGCAAAGGAAGAGATTGAGCTGCCTCTGAGAACATTTTGATGCAGTTCATTCTGTTGGAACAGTATTTGTAGACAAATATCCACATCAGGACTCTCTGCTTACCGAGTCAATTCTCTGGAATGATTTACAAGAGTGGAGTGGTCTCAGTATATGCTTTGAATGCCATTGGTTCTCAACGAAAATTAGATCACGGATAATCTCAAATGCAAGCAATAGCATCAATGTTTTATCAAATTGGGTACCTTCAGCCAAAATTACATGTAAACAGTGGTGCTATTTGGCAATTTCTAGATACATGCTCTTTGAAACAAACTTCTAACAAACTACCTTTTAGTTGTCTTTAGGGAGAAAAAAATTTACTTTGTTCAGGAATAAAAGTAAGCCACGACCCCCCCCATTTTAAAACCACAAGCTCTGTTTTGTCATCCCAGTATTGTACTCAACAATTTTGAGTATGAAGTCATGTTCTTGTTTTGAAATTTAAGAATCAATTACAAAACAGAGAAGACTAGAGAGAAGCTTGGTAATAGTTCAGCAGCCATTTATAGACAGATTCACTTGTTTATTTAAAAAAGATGAATGTACATGTTCAATAAGTTAGATACTTCAACACTTTTTTCTTATCAAGCCATTGGGTTCCAAGTATAGACTTTGAAACCCTGTAGAATACTTGTTCATGTAACTTGTTACAATGCGGTCTCAATGAAAAGGATGCTAAGATACCTGTTCTTGTTTTGTTTTCCAGGGGGTTTGGGAAACAAGGCTTCCAGTGCCAAGGTAAGCTGCCTCAGTGGGCTTCATTTTCAAATACATCCAGCAGTGGGCTCTGCACTTGGAAACTCCACCTTTGCTCACCTTTTATCTGTGGTCCCAAAGACATGTTATTTAGATACTACGTTTCAAAAGACAAGTGATGTTAGTATGGCCCTCTTAAGAAAATTATCACATGGTATTGCCCGTAATCCACACATTGAAATGCCTTTTTCTCATTGAAAAAAAAAAAGCAAAAGCCTTCCTATAATTTTATTTTTTGCTGAGAACATTCCTGTCAGAAACTGCTGTCTTTGTGTGGGTGTTTAGGGGGAAGAAAAAGGAATCACTTCATATTCATGCAGAATTTCTTTCCCTTTCTTCTCTTTGTTTTGTTTCTCATCTTTTTCACCCTATACCTGGGGTTCCCAAGGCAATTCATTTTAGGCTATACATCACTCTAAGAAAGTTGTGTAGATCACCTATTGTCCCCAGGAACAAAGTATTCACACTTTGACATTATGTCAGCTCTATGAGAGTGGCTGACAGCTCTAGTATCACCGGGTGGTGTGCCTCTCCATCAGCTTAAGTTTATGACTCCATGAATGCTGTCCTCTGGCAGCACCCACCAGCCGTCCTCGATACCCTACAGTTGCATTTGTGCTCACCCAAACCAAAGCCACCATCATTGTGTGGCCATCAAATATCTAACTTTTTATATTCTCTACCTTATCTATTTCATTGGGTTAATTACTCCTTTATAACTTGCAGAGGCATTTCAGGTTCGCTGGCTCACCTTCTGGCTTGCCTGCTCCTCATCTATAGCATGTTTATTTAGTTCGGGTTACATTTCCCATCTGGGCATAGGTTTATTATTAGGGCGAGTGGAAAGTACATTCTAGCCTGGAAATTATTGTCCTAAGACTGTCTCTTATTAAGTGCATTAGGGAAAGGCACTGTATGTGCTTTTCTGTTTTACAAGTGATGGTATATTACTAAGTTGATCTTTTTGTAAACTTCCAATTTGGTGAGCTTGTTTCTAACAGACATATTAGAGAGGGGACATTTTACAGCATAATGATCATTAGTACTGTACCTTTCTTAATTCCATGATGTGCTTAAAACCCTGATTGAATGAGTCATTTTGAGAGTTCCATTTGAAAATGAGCAGATATTCCTTTTAAACAAAATCAAGAGGAAAGCACATTGGAGCAGCTCTATAACAGATGAAAGGAAGACCTTGGTTTTTAAAGTTATAGGCCTGAACTTTATAGGTTAGGTTTGGGTCTAGGTTGGAATGTGATTTTTAGGTAGTTGAAAGATGCAAATGAGATCTGAGTCTGTTACTATTTTAATAGTGACTTTGGTTTGGGTCAGTGCCTATGGAAACTTACAAGAAAAATATTAACTGAATTTCCTCTGATATTATTTGTCCAGGAGAAAGTAGGTATGCTGTTTTAAAACTCTTTCTTTTCTTCTCTTCTATGAAACTGATTCAAAGTCAAGTGGGTTTCT